ATTTTGATCTGAAAAGTATAAAAATAATTATTGAGCTAGAAAAAAGAGCTGTGATAATTTTGGTGTTTTGGAGGAAATGCAGAAGCATGGATTGGCAAAGCAAATATTTACCATGTATTACAGTTTATAATAATAGGGAAAATTGACAGAAGCTTAATTGCAGAGTGATTAGCCACCTTACTGTTGATTGCAGAACCTCTTATGCTGCATGAGTTCTTTTTAACGTTCACTGATGTTTCAGACTCATAGTTATTTGTTGCTAGTAACACATTTATCCACTAGAGAGATGTTATGTGGAAAATGTAGGTTGTACTTGGGGAAAGACATCTAACTCAACTTTTGCAGGCTAATTCAGCAATTTCTTTAAATAATTTGGGGTTTTTTCCCCAAATGATTATCTGAGCTGGTACTTCAAAGCATAATGTAAGTCCTTCTGTTAGCAATAAATCCACAGAAATCCATAAAACCTATAATGTTTCATATTATTATCAAACATTTGTTGAGCTTTCTACTAATGACCTTCTAGTCATTTTATAGAGCCAAATATTCATTTATTATTTCTAACTAGGGGGCTCATAATCTAAATTTGGTCTAAATAGAGTAAGAATAAGGGAAATTGATAAAAATTAAAATTATGTTCATGTGATTAGTCAAGCAATGTAAGTCCCTGTTTCCTATTGAAATGATTCACAAATGACAGTGATAACCATCTCAAAGAAAGAATTTAAATCTTTCACTCACCAACCTTTACAATTATTTTTTAGCTTTATAGGGTTAACCTTATTAGGGTTGATTAAATTCAAGCTGCGATCTTTCATAAAGACTCAATGGAGGGTCCAGATGGCCCAACAATACCTCCTTTTGTGAGAGGAAATAACTTGAAGATTTTTGTCTAATTAAAGTATTTGTGCTGGTGGGACCTGGATGAATTGTAGTTCTTTAAAGGAGTCTGCATTACCAATAATCTTTATAAAATACTAATTATTTTAAAATAGAGTGCTGCTTTTACTATTTTAGTTATGTCCTAGGGCCACAGTAGCATGAGCATGACATTTTGAAGCTAGGCTCTGATACCATCTTTGGTATTTCTGTCTGAAAATACAATTCTGGAAAATCAACAGAACAAGGCTCTGTGGAACAAAATGCCAGGAAGGTCAATGCATTACTTTCCTCCTGTTCCAGTCTTCTACTCACAATTACCTTAACTCTTGTCAAAATATTTTCTATGGTAACAGCCAAGACATAATTAGCACCTTTTCTTCATGTTGAAAATATCATTGGTAGCCATAAAACAAATTTGAGGAAAGCCCTTAAGCACATCATCTCAGCAAATGACTGCTGTGGTTATTGGTATACCATGATTTGCCTACCTGCAACAATAACACCTCATCTTAACCTACCTTCCTATCCCAGTATTCCTAACTATATGAGATAAGGAGAAAGAAAGAATTCCAGGTGTGAGGTGGGGATAAAGTAGAAGTGAGTTGGGAAATGCAGTCAGAAATTAGACAATAAACCATCTTACAAGTGCTTTTTAGTATTTTGTTATTTGCATCATTATTTTCCAAACTTTTCATGTACTTTGTCTGCAATCAAGATGATATTCTGAGACAGTTTGTTCTCCAAAAGCCTATCTTGTATTGGACAGGCAAAAATATTGATCACTTTTGTCATCAGTGGAAAGGTTCTATATGTATTTGACTTTTTACATGTTCTTGGTTGAGGCTACAGAAGCCAGAGTTGTTATGATCAAAGATTTCCAGCAGGGGGTGTAGCTGGTTCTATAGGGTAAATTCTTATGAAGCCCCATCATATTCATGCATTTAAATATTGCAGTGTTACCGCTAATGATAGAGGCTAGAATTATAACTTTTTTTATGATCGTCATCTCTTTTGATCCCAAGAAAAGCATATATGTTAATACTTTATTAGGATATGTTGAAGAAGTAGAAACTTGCGGAGAGAATATTTAAATTAAAAACCTAAAGTGCCTGACTAAAATCTTATTCGCCCAATTTTTTCAGAGTAAATGGAGAACAAAGCTTTGGGAGATTTTAATTATCCAGTACAACAGAACAAGTGCTTAAATTTTTTATTCTAGATAAAAAGAGTAGTTGATCTGAGAGGGCTTCAGAATATTTATTCCATCTTTCTCTCATATTTGCACATGTGTATATAAAGAATAAATTTCTTATTTTTTCAAATATACCCTTTTGGAGGGGAGGATGAGTGTTTTAAAGCTTTTTCTCTGAAGACATGGCTCCTGATCAACTTTGAAAAATGACATTTTATCCTCCCCCCTGCTCTTTAATGCTTTTTATTTATAGGTATATAATGTAGATATACAAGTATTGTTAATCACAGAATCTTGGCCCCCAAGTCCTATTTTCATATTTCTATTTGTACAGAAATATTTTATTTTTGAGAAACACAACATAAAAATGATAAAAGTGATAACTTACTTGTATGTAGCTTTAGACTATTAGTATTAATAAGAAGCAAAGTCATCAATTTCCAAACCCCCTAAATTCAGGTGGACAATGAATAAAAATAATGTCAGCTACAAAAATTATTATTTAAAACCATGCCTTCTTTTAAAAATATACTTTCTTGTGTCTTCATTAAGGGAAAATGAGATCTCAAATATTTTCCTCCAGTTTCATGTCCTGTAACTGAAAATTATACTTTTTTATGTTAATGTTTCCTTTCAATGATGTGATTTATTTGACTTTGGTTTATGTTGATACTGTACGTGTCCATGATTAAAAGTTTCCTATTTGGGAAATAATTTTTTAATAATATTTAAGTTGGACACATATACAGTAACTAACATTTTACTCAGGTGTTGGCTTCGTGTATTTTAAGGTTTTAGTGCAAAGATGAAAACATACATTTAAATACATTAACTTTCCAATCTTTGTAAATGGTGTACCTGTGGGATTAGTAGCACATTTTGGTAGTGTGAATTCCTTTCCCCAATATCTCTCTCTCCCTATTCTTTCCTCTCTATTTTCATTGCAGGCTTTCTTCGGTGTCCTTTTCCTTGCCAAAAGTTTGTCACTGAAGGAATGAAGTATCTATACACCTTAACTTACTCTAATTTGATCTGCCTGGTAGCATTGAGATGTAAGGAAGAGGCTGCAATCAAAATTTTAGTTATATCTTTAAAATTGGGGAGTAAGAGACACGTAGAGAAAATAGAAATGTCTTTTTTGCTTTTGTCTATTAATTTTACCTTTGAGAAATATGCAGAATGAATAAGTAGGGGGAAAGAACAAAGGAACAGAACTTCTGCTGAAATATCATGACAGATTTATCGACAAATATTTTCTAACAGATTTTTACTAACAGGCAGTTTTTGTTTTCTTTACTAACAGACCATAAACATACTTCTGGTTGGCAGCAGCTGCACCGTTTTAATACTAAAAAGCAACCTTGACTAACTTCGGTACCTTATGTAACATCAGAAATAAAGAATAACTTGAATTTTAAAGTTTTTATATGTTAACTCTACTGATAAACTATTTTCAATGCGGGAAATAAATCTTTCCCCAAAGAGACATTGTCCCCAAATTAATTTTTTCTTTTAGACTCAACAAGGATTGTAGAGAGATTCGTGTTTTTACTCTTCTATGTGCTGATAACTATTTTAAGACCTCTGTGTAAGTCAAGAGTCTGATGACCTTGGGAAAGTCACAGGACCTCAGTTTCGTCAACGTTGAAAGGAAAGGCAGTGGTTTCTGCAGTACTTTCTCCTTGTACCATTCAATGTCAATGCACAGATATGAAATACACAGAAAGCTCAGTGTACCCCCAAACTTGTGAAATTTCTAGAAGTCAAAAATACTAAGTATATTTATGGCAGTATAATAAAAGCCAAATGGCTGATAAAGTTGGGCTAGTAGTGGTGTGAGGTGGGGTCTTTTGGGCCACCCCAGGGATCACTCCAAGTCTTGGCGTCTCGCTCAAGCTCAACTTCTATTAAGAAGGGACTGAAATCAGGGCCCGAGTCCCTGGGCTGCGACGACGGAGAAACGGACCACTCTTCAGGTTCCCTTGGAGTTTTGTCTTCTGAGTGTGGCACCGGGTCCTGGGAGGGGGAAGTCTGTAGTTGGTAAGAGATTCCCCCAGGCAGAAAACTGGCCACACACCCAGGAGCACACACACGAACAGGTCCCTGCGAACAAGCTTGGGCGCACACTGTATATTCCTCTTATGCAGTCTTTAACGCTCAGAGATTTCTCCAGAAGCATTCGGTGCCTGTGCTATGTTTTGCAACGGCTAACACATCAGGTTCTTTTGCAGTATTGTGGTTTGCTCTGAGTTACGGCCAGAAACCGGAACGAAGGAAAAGGAAAAGGCAGAGGAGGTTTGGAGACGACTAGGCACATTAGGCAGCCTCTAAAGCGCGGAGGATGGGGCGGAGGAAGAGCAAAATACGGAGAAAAGGGAAAGCTGAGGAAAAATATTCACACCAATGGGTAAAAGGGAAAAGGTGAGAAGCAATGGAGTAGGAGAAAGAACCAATGGGTGGGAGAGGAGGAGGAAGAAGGGGGAGGGGCAGAAACCAATCGGGGAGCCCGGACGCGAGCGAGGACGCGGCCCTGCGCGCTAGCTCTCCTCCCTTTGGCTCGATAGCTCGCGCCTTGCCCGGCTCCCGGGAGACTAGAGCAGGGGCGGGGCCGAGCCGGGCGCGCGGCGCGGGAGGCGTCGCGAGGTGAGGGCGGCGGGGGCGGGGAATTGTCGGGCGGGCGTAGCGGGCGCGCGCGCGCCGGGTCCTGGCTGCACCGCCGCTCCGCCCCCGGCCGGGTGTGTGGCTTCGCGCGCGCGCGCGTGCGTTCCGGCGGTGCGCGCCGGGAGAGATGCTGAGGTAAAGTTCGGGAGAGAGGGAGAGGGATCCGTCAGCGCGAGGAAGCCCGAGTGGCCGCCATTACTGAGCCTGGCGCGGCGGCGGGCGCAGGGGAAGGGGGGAGGGACGGGGCCACCGCTGGTGGCGGGGAGGGCGGGCGGGTAGGTTACCAGGCAGCAGGAGCCGTGGGGCTTAGGGTTTTGGGGCGTGTGTGTTGGGAGGGGGAAGTGGCTGAAGGGACGCGGCGCTCGGTAAGCGCGCCGGGGACGAGAGGCGAGCTGAGAGTGGAGGAGGAGGAGGCGGCGGCGGCGGCGGGAGCGCTCCCCAGGAATGTCGCTGCCGCTGCCACCGCCGGGGCCGCTGCCGCTGAGGAGGAGACGGAGGAGACCGACGTTGTTAGGTAGGACCTTGCGACCCGCGCTCCTCTGGGCCTGCCCGCCCCCTCCTCGCGAGGACCCTCCCGCCGCCGGTTGTAACCAGTTCAAGGGCTGGGGCCCCGCGGCCGCAGAGAGGAGCCTGGCGCCGCTTCGGTCCTCGCAGGCCGGGCCGGGGCGGCTGCGCGGCGGGGGCACGATCGGCGTGAAGGGCGGAGAGGCCGGGCGGGGGGCGCCTTCTCCACAGGTGACGGAGCCAGGGTCTGCGGAGGCCTGGTGGCGGCCCGGGCTCGCGCTGGCCCCGCCAGGCGTCCGCTCTCGCTCGCCGCCAGCCCTCTCTTGCCTTGGTCTTGTAGGGTGCGTAGGGAAAGAAGGTGGCGTGTCTGGCCCGGGTTGCTGCTGCTGTTAACGAGTTCCACCTGGAAGGGGAAGCGGGGAGTGGGCTCAGATTCGCGAAACCTGATCTTGGTTGGAAACTTAAACGCGTTTCTGGGGAAATCGGCCCTTTCACTTTTTCCTTATCTCCCCGACTCCTCCCCGGTTCTCTTCACCAAATTCCCATCTGCTGCTAAAGCTTGGGGTGGAGTGTGAGAAGTTGCACTGCGCAACTAAAACACTTGAGTCTTGTCGGTTGAATGCGACTGGGTTGGGGCTCTGATACCGAGTTTTCGGAAGGGTAACCTTTAGAGTCTCTGTTTCCACTAAAGAAAAGTATCGGGGTGGGGGTGGGGAGCTTCGCGGGAGCGCGCGTGCACTTATCCACACATAAATACACACACTCGGTTCCCTCGCACCCTCCCAGTGTTGTTAGAAATGCAAGTGAGGTGGAGGCTCTGGGTTTAGTTGAGGTTGTGAAGTACTTGGACGTAAGGGCAAACTATTAGAACTGCTACTAGTTCCCAAAAAGTTACAGTAGCGGAGCTGCTTATACTTTTATCATGTGATAGAAATCCAGTTTTGGACAACGCCTAATGGGAATTTAAATGTTTTAAATCTAGACCAAAGTAAGCATACACATGGATTTGTGTGCGCGTTTTAAATTTCCATCCATAATTTACTTTTTCCTTTGCAATAGGAAACAATGGCAACGTTTCAGAGAATGTTCAGATGTAAAATATTGTAACACCTCTATTTGCGTGTACATTACTGCCTTCTACAGGTGTTGGAGGAGGGGGGCTTAGGGTACCACTTAAATCCAAGACCAATTTTCAATTTGAACAGGATGTTAGTGATTTTTACCTGTATTGAGGCTTTTAGTCATTTCATGGAAGATTTCTCTAAATCTTCATTTTAAAATAGTTCTAAACAAAATTTCATCTAGATTCAGCTACTTGGAGGAATATTTTGGTTTAAAGATAGAACTGGTAATATATGTTCAGAAATGTTTTCCTGTCAATTCCAGTTTATTTGTACTTTAATATGATAATATTCACTCAATATGTTTAGATATGTATTCTAACAGCATACTAACGGCATAGGTAATCTACTAGACAGTTTCCAGAGTAAAATTTTCTTTCATTTTAAATTACTTTTTTTTGCTCTCATTTGTTCTTTATAATTGACCTGGTTTTCTAGTCTCTTTATAGAGGAAGACAGCCTTTAAGTGTGGGTCACTAAAAACTTGAAAGGCAGTGGAACACTTTCAGAATAAACATTGGATTGAAAGGCTGTGTATGCATGTGCTTTTAACTTTAAAGAGCACTATTGATATGATTGATTTAAAGTAGCGTTAGATGATACAGATTATTAATTAGATAACTATTGATTTGGTTGTCCTACGTAGCCTACATTTTTAAACCCAGGTCAGCATGTCTTATTTTTACCATTCTTTGTACATCAATTATTAAGAACATTGGGAGAGGGACTGGTTACACTTTGATCTAAGAATTGGCAAAGAATTCTGTTATCTTTGTCAGTTTTTTTTAGTGTCTCACCTCCTTCCCATTGAAACTATGACAACTCAAAAAATATGATGAAAAGTTAGTATCTTTAATTTTTTCGGTTGGTACTTACCCTAAATGTTTTGAAAATCATCTCCATTCTCCCCTCTTTGTTTGAAAGGTTATTAGTATATGTATTTTAGGGGAAATGAGTTTTATTGACCTTGAAGGTTAAGGTGTTCTAAGGAATAAAACACTATATTTGTTTTCCTTTTTTTTAACTTGAAGTTATGGTACAGCTTAGAATAATAGTTTCATAACTCAGTTTTTTAATTGAAAAAGTATGTCTCATGAAGACTACTACTAAACCTTTTTAGCATTAGTGGGATATGTGGTAAGATTTGCCTTAGTATTCAGATACTCTATTAAGTGACATAATAGGGATTTTTCCTTGCTTTCTATAGAATAAATTTTGTCACAACTTAAATTTCCATAGGTACTGTTTTAAAACAATTCTCTTGGGCTATCCATAGGCTTTTTTTTAACGTCAAGGTGTGCAGGTAGTGATTGACTTGAGAAAAATGTAATATTCTGTGTTCCTAAAAGATAATTGTAATATACATACATTAAAGTACATCAGAGGAATGTGATTTTTGAAAGAACTAGTTCAGTGCTAAGTTTTAAATATAAATCTTAATTGGTTTTCAAACTGTGTTCCTTGATCCCTGTGGGGTTTTTCCCCTAGATTCTTTGATACTTCCACCATTCCAAACCAAGACAGCTTCAGTTTTTATCTATTAAATGAACATTTTTTTAAACAAGTGTACCTGCATTTTTTAAAATGTTAAAACCTCTTGATTTGTTAATTCAGATTACCTTTGTGTAGCCCTTACTATGTGCCTGGCCCTGGGAATATAAAGGTAAATTAGAGATAAGGGTAGCTCAAGCTTTATTTGGAGAGTAATTAGTTGAAAGTCCTGAGAGTTACAAAAAGGAACAACTATTTCTATCAGGGTGTCTTTGTCACAAAAGAAGAGATATTTTGAATGTTTCAGCTACAAGTAGGAGTTTAAAAGTAAGAGAGAGAAAGATGAAATTTTTTTTTCAATGTGTTTTGGAAGCTCACTGTCCACAATGCCTGAGATATGCAGTAAAATGAAATAATTGTTAAATTGTTGTCATATCAGTGGATTTTACTTCTTAGAATTAGAGCTATTACTTGGGACAAAGTTATAAATAACTCTGATTTTATGATTAAAATATGACTAATATGTGTCACTTTGTTAGATTCCCAAGCTTTTCATTATGAAAAGTTAATAGTAAAAGTAAGTTTTCATTTTTCCAGTTTTGGATAGGTTTAGCCCATTTTATTATCCCTGACCATTTTCTGCTGAACAGCTAAGCATTGTGAATGATATGAGAAAGTATAAAATATTACTCCCTTATAAAGGAACTTAGATACAAGAGATGATACTTGAAAGCATAGACTTGGGATAGTGTGGGGGAAGGGAAGACATTTAGGTACTTTACTAAAAGCATAGACCAAAAGCACTGGGAAGTGTGGGACAAATTGGTGAGAAAATACAGCTTAAAAACATAAGAGCATCAGTTTGTACCCTATTAAGTCAAATTGAAAGATTTGAGGAAAGTACTGATGCAAGGGTATAGATGGAATGATGGAGAAATACATTAGGTGGTCTATTTTTTTTTTTTTTTTGGTACTGGGGATTGAAAGGTGGTCTTAACTATTGAAGTTGTTTATTGATATTGTTTAATAGCCTTGGCAAAATGCTTTTGTTGGTTTCTGATATGGCATCATTTGTTCATTTTCTTCCTGTTTATCAGGTGCTCTTGGTGTCTCCAAATTGTGTTTATTATTACTGTACTCAGCTTTTCAGAGACAACAACAGTTTTTAAATTTTTTAAAAATTCTTTTGGTTGGCTGTTTAGATAGCTAGTAGAAAATTAACATTCTTATGATAGGGGTTTTGAAAGATTCGGATTTCAACTCTTAATTGTTAACTAAGCACATATATACATATATATACACGTGTATATATGTACTTAGTTAATAGAGAAGAAATATATAACTCAGATGTTTCTGAGAACATTAAATAGTCTTACATAATTGCTGAAGTTTAGGATCTTAAGTTTTACTCACTTTGATCTTTTTTTTTTCTTCTCACTTTGGTCTTGCTTTTTTTCATTACTAAAATTTCATTTGTCTTTGGAAACAGCACTTGAAACTCAGGTGATATCACCATCTCTTGCTAAAAGTGATACTTTTTCATTAAGAAACATTGATTTGTTTGTGGTAGCCACTTGTCAAGCTCAAAATTGGATTACTCTTTTCAAGTACTATGATGTGCAGGTGCTTTAAGTGAAAGTATCCATTGCTTGGTCTTTGTGCCCCACCAGATTCAGTCTGTTGCTTATTACAATGTGAAACTTCTGTTTGCCCTTGAAAATTATAGTCATATTTAATATTTTCAACTTTATTTTCCTACTTTCCAGTATGTGTGTTGTGTTTAATCACTTCATCCTCATCACATATGTGGAATGACTTCTCTTTAAAAACTAAATCCATCCTACTTTTCAAGGTTCACTCAAAACCTTTCTTTTCAGTGAAACTCTTCATCTACTTCAGGGGGTTTGTACACAGTGGCCCTTGGGCCAAATCTGGCCTGATATCTATTTTTGTATAATGGCTTTTTAACATTTTGAGATCATTTGGGAAAAAGAGAACTACTTGTGATTTGTAAAAATTACGTGAAGTTCAAATTTCTGTGTCCCTAACGTTTCATTATGATAACCATAGTCATTTAAGTATTGTCTGTGGCTGTTTTTGCACCCTGAAGGCATAGCCAGGTAGGGTGACGTAGTGCAGTGTACAAAGCTTAAAATTTTTGCTGCCTGGCCCTTTACAGAAAAATGTTTTCCAAACTCTGATCTATCCTAGCTTGCACTTGTCTCTCATGGTCTAGCATGTTGCCTTTATCTCTTCAGCTATGGTATTATAAAAAAAAAAAAATACAGCAAGGAAAGTGTTCTTCACTTTTCTACCTGCCCCCTTGAATCCAGATTTTATTTCTGTACCCTTTCCTGTGATTATTTGACCCCTTAATGTTCCCATCACCAAATGTCTC